ATGGTCATATCGCTTTTTCAGCGCTTGCCACAATTCAAGTGGATTCTCAAGAGTGAGATATTGCTGCTTAAGGCTCGGGGCCAGATGATGGCGTATGTGACATATCGCCTGAGACTGTCCCTTACGGGATGCGGTGTTACCGTCGGTAATACACGCATCGAGTTCTTTCGATGCAAGGAACAAGCGCATGTCTAGGGCCCACTCGAGGTAGTTATCCCCGGAGACGTGAAGGGCCTCGAATTCACATTTCTGAATGTTTGACATCTTTGGATTTCTGACAGGCTAATGAAACTGGGAGCTAATAGACCTCAGTTAGCCGCTACAAATTCCAAGGATTGATCACCAAAACTGGAGAAGCTGCTGGTTGAAGAAGGAAAAACTCGGATCTGGTTTTTTTTTTTCGGTTGATCGTCGTGTACTGTAAGTGTGCGTGAGGGCGCGTCCGACGTTGGATCGACAAACGGTTTTCACCAGTAGATTCGTCTCGTCGAGGGCTTCGATTTGATATGTAGATCGTCTTCTGGTTCCTCACGGTTTGGAAGATATGCGTCTTTTAAGTTTCGACTTGCTTTTAAGGTTTTGGTGGTGGCCGGATTTATTAGGGTTTTTCGCTCAGAGAGTCTTATCGTGCTGATAACGTGTTGTGAAAACTTAGAAACTTTATTAATCACTGGAAAATGTATATATAGAGTACATAGGGAATTTAGGTTAAGTACAATGCCCTGATGGGCCTAATGGGCCGGTATAAGAGTCCATATATGATATGTGTTATAACAAATTTTTTTTTTTGGGGATAGTATTTATTTTGTTTGACTTTTGATTTTATGGGGTTATAGAAATACTCGAAGCTGTTCATGTGTTGTTTTTTTTTTTTAATTTACTAATGGGCAAATGGCGTACATAGCTGACAAGTTAATTTAAACAATATGGTATTAAATTTATTAAGGGTCTTTTTTGGATATTGCGTTATAAATTGATAATTTAAAAATTGAGTAAAATAAATTAAATTAAAAAGAAAAAAAATTCAAGTTGCTGTTGAGATTTTAATAAAAATAATTAAAAAGAAATAAATTTATGCTTGTCTGAGTTCTAGAAAAAAGAAACTGCTTCCGAGTCTAAATAAAAAGAAGCTATCATGATTAATACTTTAATTAGTGTTTAGTAACAGTAAGTAATGATAGTGTGAATTTGTTTTTTTTTTAATAATTCATTTACATTATGGATTTTTGAAAGAAATCCTAAGAATAGTTATCTCTTCAGTGGAATCGAATATAAAGGATTTCACATTAAATAATACCGAAAAATCTTAGGAATTGGGATAGAACTCCTTTTTATTTGCTTTTTTATCTCTATCATCTAAAATAAAAAGGGAATTTAGAAGGCTGTGGCTCAGATTGATGCTTTACAAAACGATAAGTCGATAACATATAATTATTAGCCGGGTATAAACCGATAATGTCTAGTTTGTTCAGGTAAATAAAAAATGAAGGGAATTCCATCTCCGTTATTGTTTTCCCACTGAAGTCTTTTAGATTAATTCAAATATAGAGAGAGAATCTCTAATAATTTATTCTCAACTCGAGCTATATTTTATATATCTTTGATTCATATACCTGAAATCCAGGATTAATCAAGTTTGTCGTTTTCTCATCTCACGATGGAATGAGGAATAGCCAATAGCTACTGTATTTTTTATTTAGTTTATTTAATTGTTTTTGGCTATCTTCTTAGTTTTATAAATTGTATCCATTTTAGAACACAGCACATCAGCTTATCTGTTTCTCTATCTTGAAAAGAACTCACCCAAATATATTTTGTTCGTCTGACAAATTCTTCTCCTTTTCTTCCTAATTTACAATTTCAATGTTACTCACTTTTTTTAATTGATAAAATAATTTTGTAAAACAGATCAATTCAACGGCTTGGATCAGAATATTCCATTTTTCTTAATTCTTTACAATATAGAAGATTGTCGTGGTTTATTTTGTACTTGACATTTTTTTAAAACGTGAACTCTGTGATATATTTCTTGTCCTTTTGTAAAATGCACCCAGCTATATTTTTCCTTTTCCGGCTCCAGATACAGCTAATAGTATTAGAATATAATATAACGTCACCATTTTTTATTAGATTTTCCGAACCATTTGCAAATATTTTAAGTACTACTTAAGGTTTTCAAATAATCGACAAAAAATACAGCCAAACGGTAATAATACAAGCTCTCTTTTTTTTTTTGTACTACATGTGTGAATAGCATTATCCTTATGTTATTAAAATTTTCTGACGACCCAAAATCTATACTGTCGTGAAGTTTTCTATAAATCAAGGGAGATAAACGTTTGACTTTATACAAAAAATAGTATCCAATGCCATACATATTATATACTACAATTGGAGATAGTTTACTTTCTATATTGATCGGCTAAATGATATAACATATAGAGGCTTTGAGTTGGACCCGTAAGATCAGGCAAAAGAACAAAATCTAACAACTTGGCCTTTTAGAATATAAGATATATAAAAATACATGCATGTTTGTGTCTCTTAAACTATATGGCTTTTAATGGTTGTAGTTTTTAGATATTTTTTTAATATTTTTCCCCACAAACTCATTTAATCATTCAGTCAATTTTTTAGAAAATGTTGAAACCAATACTAAAGCGAAAGCTAAATTCGAAAAAACAAAACTAAAAAAAACTAAACACCAAAATCCTATCAAGAAACTAATAACCCATTCAAAGTAAAATGTGATCAAATGTTTTAATAAAGATCCCGTTTGCAAGATTCCATTTACTTGGTAACTAGTTGGTATACCCAAAACAAATCATGAGATGTTTGAGTAAAGTTAAAGCAAAACTAGCCTAGCCATATATATAGTGCTAGTGATACTCTGTAAATAGCCAATAAAGGAGACAACCGCCTACCGGTCAGACCCTTTCTAGTGCAAATTTGACCACCGAAAAACGGGTCTGTGAGAGACTCGACCCGTTTATTCAATTACAACTTATTTGGGCCATAAATTGATCTGGCCCATGCAGTAAACAAGCTACGGCCCCACCCGATTGCCCATTGCGGGAATTGATAAGCCTGAATCCATGATCCATATAGTAAAGCCTTTGAATGTTACAAATTTTTTATTCAAGTGCTTCTCTTCGTATATGTTAATTCAAGTTGGCTGCTGATAAATTATAGCGCCCGTAATAGCTAGTTACAAAACTGCGTCATGGTCATGGACTCATGGTCCGTCCATGTATTGCGTATGCTCATGGTCCATGTAATGCGTCATGCTCATGGTACATGTAATACCTAATCGGGGATATATAGATCTCTTAGCAGGAGTTTATCTCAACCCCACTATGATTTTTTTTAAAAAAAAAACCATTCACTATGAATTAAGCACATGAGCCGAATCTCATAAATTCCATAAGTCTAACTGATCAGACTCAGGTGCACTAAGATCAGAGAGGACAATCTCGTTTTCATTAGTCTGGGCCCGACCACCTTGTTTGGATTGACAAAAGTACTCTTTATAACCAAATTTCTGATTTCTGATATTTAATTTTTAAATTACATATTAACTCTTTGAATAAATAAATATATATATATATATATTGATTGTAATATAAGAATGTATTAGCCATAGGAATCTAGGAGAATGATTTAAAGATTAAAGAGGAGAATATGTTATGATAGGAGGGATTAAAGAGGCGAAGGAGGTCATAATTCAGCTCTCATAATTTTGCCTAGTAAGTAGTAACCATAATCTTTTGACTTTCGGGTAACTAGCATTTCTGAGTAGTGAGGACTTAGAGAGAGCACTTATAAAAAAAATATACTAAGTTGACGTTGCTTTTCTTTACCAAGAAATCAGGTTGATATGTTGTTGGTCGACGAATTTTGATTATGCTATGACTTCTCGCCAAAAGTGACTCAGGGTTCAACCAATTGAAATACTATGTTTGGTTTATACTAAGTTAAAAACACGAATGAAATAATCTAAATTTTATACAGATTTATTATATTAGTAAGATTTGAAGGCTGATTAAGATATTTGTTGTTGTTTATATATGACACACCATTTTTGAGTTGTTAAAACTTTTCCTTTCAATAGTTTTATTCTGTATATATATATATATATATATATATATATATTTATAAGTGCCTGAAAATGCAAACATACGGTTCCACTTCATGAAAAGACAAGATCCTTAAACATAGGACTCGAGCAGGAGGATTGTTCTCCACATTCTTTGATCTTGGAAGAATAAAAAGCTCTTCATTAGCTCAAATATGTAGACATAATATGATTTTAATCATCTATTTTTTAAAAAAGTTAGTGCATGTCATGATGTCATATTGGGCATCTATTACCTTTGACTTACTTATTCAAATTTTTTTAACGCAGATAGGAGAGTAGGAAAGAAAATGTAATTTTAGTGGTGGATTAGCGATATCGTGGAAAGACTAAAAGAGCCTTAAAAGATGTGTAAATCAGTGCACACCATCATTTTTAGCTTATAATAAATGCATTACATATTCTTAGAAATTTTGCTTCTTAAGAAAACATTCATGTTTGTGGTAGTTACAATGTGATCACATACCATCCATTATCCATAAGCTGCAAATAGAAAATTTCAGTACTAATATAGCAAAAACATTAAACCAGTATACGAGTTCACTCAATTCGCATGTTCTTAAGGGAATAAGCCCCTCCAAGAAAGGCAATGTAGTGATTGGTACAAGTACAAAAAACATTACATGGGTGTGACCGTGACACAACGGTTCACATTAGCAAGTTGCTAAATAGTCAGGCATACTCATTAATACAACGGTTTAGGTTTAGTTAAGAGTGAAATCAAGTTTATTGTATAAAAATTCGGTATTATTCAAAGATTTGAGAAAGAATAAGGATTTTTTTTTTTTCTTTTTCCATTTTCGTAACTAATTTTGACCATTGGCTTCCAAATTTCAGTTAAGTAATAATCAAGTAATTAGTGAGAAAAGAATAATAATGTTTCCTGTATTAGTAATGGAAAAACAGCGTACCAGAAAAACTGAGTTAATGGAGAAGGAAGAAATTAAGAAAGGATTTTAATTGTGGATTAAGTTAAGTAGGAAGAGTAGCTCCCCAAACCCTAAGAGCTTGTGGGCCCCTCTAACTCCTCGATGTCATCTCCTTCAATTGCTTCTTTCTCTTATCATCCTCCTTTCTTCACTGCCTTCGTCTTTCTTCCATGACCATGGCAGAGAGAGAGTGAAAACAGAGACCTTTCACAGCTTCTCATTTTGTTTTGCCTCTTGTCTCTTCTATTTAGCTACTACCTCCAATAACCCTAATCATCTATCTAACTCTCAGCTCCACCATTAACACACAACTCCTCTCCATCCTGAGCTCTGTTTGCTGCAAAAAGTTTTTCTGGGTTTTTTTGTTCTCTTGTTTATAATTCGATTTTTCTTCCATTTGGGTACCCAACAAAAGAGTCAAAGTGATTTCTTGCTTTTCCCTTCCAAAGCCCTAATCTCAAAGACAAAGTCAGACAAAGTCTCAACCTTTTCTATGTTTTCCTCTGCTCAACTCGCAATTCCTGCTTTTGGATTATCCTTCTCCTTCAGAAAATCGAGCTGAGTGTGTTGAGTTCCCCTGCTGATTTCTGATCTATCTAACACTCCTTCGCACACCAATGGACGATGATGGATCTGCTCATAGCTCATTGTTGGGAGATCTATCAACCGAAGAGGTCACAAGCAAGATCATTCTCACAGCAATCGTTGTTCTGTTCATGGCTGTTCTCTTGGTCCTTATCCTCCACCTCTACGCCAAACTCTACTGGTGGCGAATAGATCAGCTCCAACAACAGCAGCAACAACAAGAACAAGAACAAGAACTAGAACTAGATGACCAATCATCCATTGCTCCACCAGTAATCACTCGCCGCCAACGACGCCGTTTCATCTTCGTCCCGGGGCAAGACGCTCCATCCAACACTGGTCTTACCCCTTTTGAGCTCAGTTCTTTACCAGTTGTCTTTTTCAGACAAGATAGCTGCAAAGATGGGTTGGAATGTGCTATTTGCTTGTCTGAGCTTGTCAAAGGAGACAAATCGAGGCTGCTTCCAAAGTGTAGACATAGCTTCCATGTTGAGTGTATTGACATGTGGTTTCAGTCTCACTCAACTTGTCCCATCTGCAGAAACACGGTTCTTGGTCCTCCTGAGCAAGGTAGCTCAAAGAGGATTGAACAAGTTCTTGAAAATGCTGATGCTGGAAGCACCAATATCAACCATGATGCGTCCCAAATTTCAACTTCTGTCTCCAATTCTTCCCCGGAATTCCCGACCAATGTCTTGGTGTGGGGTCGCCAGGATCAGGTTAGTACCGGAAACACCAATGTCGGGCCTCAAGAAGATGCTACTGGTTCTGCTTCACAGAGTCAAGAAGCTGTTGTTCTGGATATCAATGATTCTACTACAGTTAGAAGCCAAAATGTACCGTCTTCTTCGTCATCGATGAGGTTTATTGTTGAGGATGAAGAACCAAAATCTCCAATGACAACGAGGCTGAGATCCTTAAGGAGGTTTCTGAGCAGAGACAAGCGAGTCTCTTGTAGCAATACTAGCAGTAGTAGTAGTAGCTCCAATGCTGTTGCTTCTTCTGTTGATCCTTGAAGATTTGTGATTAGATTAGCTGAGTAAAAAGATTGCCTGAAGATGTCACACTGTATTGGTCTCGGCTCTGATTGGCTTTGTGTTTGAGAGCTTTCTTTGTCCTCTTTAAGTGAAATATCATTTCTATATATTCCAAGGGTTTTTTAAATTCAATGCTTTTTGTCTTTTCTTTACTCAGAGCAACACCTCTAATCAGCTTCTGAGATTTAATAGACATCAAACGATTGCTGGAAACTCCACTGCACTAACGAAGAGAATGTAAAGTTAAACCATATGTATTGTGATCTTAAGCTAAAACAAGACATGAACTGAGAGAAGTTTTTCAAGAAGCTCTAGAACTAAAATGACTTACCATAAAACTAGACAACAGAACTAGCAAGCGGCTGATTTAGAGAAAACGAAGAGAATCAATTGAGCATATGCATTTGGTCTTTTGTACTGCATAATTAAACCAGTTAGGAGGTATTTGTTTCACTGTTTTTTCTTTCCTCTCTTCAAGGCTAATAATTAAGAAAGGAAAAAAGAAAATAATGAGGAAAACAGACATGAGCTATTAACATGCAAAATGTATTTTTTTTTTTCTGATGAAGTTGTTGTTAACTAATAGTCTCATACTATAAGAAGCAGCATAAGTAACCACGTGCCCTATCACATGATCCTCATCTTAATCACATAAATTTTCATGGCTAATACGTGTGAATGAATGTGTATGCAACTTTGCATATGTGTATATTCATGTAAGGGCTAATCATCAGTGAATGGTCTAGAATTCATTAGATTTACGATAAATATCCTCACTATCTGTACAAAATTGAGGAAGCAATCAAAAAATTACCTAGAACAACTGGATGATATAAACAATAGTGAGTCTGTGAGAAGCTTGGAATCTCAGACAAGGACAGAGGCAGAATATAAGACCTTAACGCCAAATGAGTGTGAGAGAGGATTAAATTTGAAGACAGGAGCAGATCTTCCCCCAAATCTCGCATCCCTCGCGTTTCTCCATGGAAATCTCGGCAGACCAAAGCTCCAAACCTCCAAGATAGGCGTTCCAGAAGATAACAATGTTCCCAGCAGAGTTGCTGCAGAGTCTGCAGATATCATATTGGAAACTGGTTGTCCCCGAACATGGTTTAAGAGGATAGGAGACTTGTGTAGAAGCAGAGGAGCGAGACAAGTGTTGCAACTCTTCCAGACCCTTGACTTGTTTCCAATCCAGCTCGTGTGGCTCACACCACAGTATTCTCCCACGAGAATCACGACAGTATAAAAGCTTCCCTAGAGCACACCAGTCGCTCCTGTGTCCTGGCTTAGAATCCATTTTCCGTAATGTCCAAAACTTACAATTACCTGGGGATAAGTAGGAGACTCGTCGTGCCTCATCCACCACGTAAACCTTCTTCTCCTCCTTTATCACCACACTCTGATGGATTTCGTCCATGTTGGGGATAAACCAGTCTTCCCAAGTTTGGGTCTTGAGATGGAATATCTCTCCCCAGTTTTGGGAATCAGCGACCATTCCGCACCCTCCAATCACGTATATCTTCCCGTCTACCAGACTTGCCGATGCAGAAGCACGAGCCATCCTCATGGACGGGACGAGTCGCCATGTGTGAGAGAAGCAATCGAGGAACCAGACATCGGATGTGCGATTGCCGTTTATGATGCCTCGACTCACCACCACGAACGAGGATGATGATGATGATGATGATGATGATGATGATGATTCTGGGTTCGAGGGGATCGGGCAAAGGCGACGCTGCGTGGGATTGAGGACGAACCAGCGTGGGATTGGGTCAGGAAAGATGCGTAAGCATACGTAGAGAGATGCTTCGGTGAAACCCATCTGCAATCTCAAGTCGTAGAGCTCTCGGGAAGCTACTAGAGAGCGGTGCCTCTTGGAGGAGATAGCTAAGGCCCCGAGGTCAAATCTCGAGACCTGAGCCAGGATGCTCACAGCTAATTCATGTGGCAACGACGACCATAACCCAGAAAGGGACGGAGACAACTTCCTCCGCTTATTCGGCGGTTCATCGGAAATTGAACATCTTGCTTTCATCATTGTTCGATTACCGGAGCCGGAGGGATCCATTTGGATTGTCGATTAATTTCAAAGTTACGTTTTTTTTTTTTTTTTTTTGAGGGATTCAGACAGAGACATTATTTATTTATAAGAAAAACTTGTTCCTTTTCTTATTCCCGAACTAGCTAGTATCGGATTACTAGTAAGAACGCGGAATTTCCTTTTCGTTTGTTTGGGTTTAATAGTGATTTCTTCCTTTTCACTTCTATTTATTGAGACACTATTTTTGATGGAAAAAATAAATAAATCCATCTAAAGATTTTCATTGGAGAATTGTAGTATTTGTTTCACTCTTTTTATTTCCTCTTTTCAAAAGCTTGTAGTTAAAAACATTGGAAAAAACACACATTCCGACATGAGCTGTGATTATTATTGGGAAAGCGGCCTATTCGTACCTCAACTGGTCTCTCTGGTACGATTTACTGTCTGTACTCTTGAGCTGTGCCTACGCATACCTCAACTTCTAAAAATTTGAAATTTCATACCCGTACTGACTTCCGTTTGGCCAATTCATGCATTGACAAATTCCCCGTTAGTCAACCCCGTTAAGCTGTTAACGGATGCTGAGTCAGCTGACACGTAGGAATACACGTAGGAATTTCTGTTGGAACGGAAATCGAATACGACGTCGTTTTTATCGAATCTGAGTTAAAATTTTTTTTTACAAACTCGGGGAATCGAACCCGCAACCTGTTTGCGTTCAAACGGACTTCAGAACCAGTGGACCAGACGTGAAATTAATAAACCATCACCAGTTAATAAATATAAAGCTGATTTGCATTCGTCATTAAAAAACAAGTTAAACGACGTCGTTTTACTTTGCAGGTATTTTCAAAAGATGTCCAACCTCTAGGACTCGAACCAATGACATGCTTGTGATAAAACCAACTGCAGAGCCAGTAGGCTATGTTAGATAATCGATAAATATTGCTAACCTAATTAATATTAACTCTCAAAATTCTTGTTTTTTAAAAAAAAATAAGACGACGTCGTTTCAGATTTATGTCTGTAAAGAAGAATCGATCTTCTTCTTCCTTCCTCTGGGATCCTCTTCGAAAGCTTATTCCTTCGAATCAATCCCGATCTTGGACGCCGACGGTGGCAGCGGTGGTTTAGCTTGGTGAAATTGGTGGGAGGCTGGAATAATTGGAGGCAAATTCGGAGTGTGGGAACTCAATTGCCCTAAAAAATGAGGTATTTTGAAAATCTAGGGTTAAGGTTTTCGATCTGATTTTCAAATTTTATATTGGTCTTCAATTTTTTAATCATTTGGAATATTAAATTCGTGTCTTAAGCAATTGTATATTCATATTTCAGCGACGACTTGGATTGTGTGTTCATCATATATTATGGTGGAAAGTTTCAAAATTACGAAGATGGAAAGGTTTATTACGATGGTGGGTCTGCAGTCGAGCATGTTGCGACGCCGGAATCTGGTTTTGAAGCTTTTCCTGTGAGTTTGTACAGGCAGAGGAAATGGTTTAAACTGCCATATGAAGATTTGAGTGACCTTAAGATTCTCAGCGATGGTACTCAGAATTTTCAAAGGATGTGTGCAGCGTGTAGATGGACTAAGACTGCTGAGATTTATTTGGAGAGTAATGAAGATGAAGAAATAAATGAGGTAAGAGATGAAGTAAGAGATGAAGGAGTAGCTGAAGATAGACAAGATGTAATGGATTCAGGAAGAGATGATGGAAGAGATTTAGGAAGAGATTCAGCAAGAGATTCGGAAGGGGATTCAGGAAGAACTGATGTAAGAGATGAAGGAAGAGAATCAGAAAGAGATTCAGGAAACAAAGGAAGCGACGAAGCTGAGATGTGTGAAGAGGAAGCTCGTGTACAAGCCATTGTTGCAGCATTTGTCGACGAGGAGGAAAATGATGAATTCGGAAAACAAACTCCACCTTCCTCCGACAATGAGGGACCAAATAAGGAGTCATGCTATTATGATCACTGGAGAAGAGGCAGTGGAGAGCTGAAGATAATGCAAGTATTTGAAAGCGTGAGTGAGTTTAGAGAAGCTGTCTTAGAGTATGCTCTGAAGGGAGGTTGGAATATCCAGTTTAACCGGTGGGGGTCTATTAAGCATGGCGCTAAGTGTGGTGTTGAGAAGTGCATGTGGAAGATATATTGCTCATACGACAGCTCAATGCCTAAGTGGATGGTGAAGACGTTCCAAGACGAACATACATGTCACAAAGATGGTCGTTGCAAGATTTTGACAGAGAGTGTCATTTGTGACATGTTCATACACGAGCTGAGAGACAATCCTAAACTGAGGCCGAAAGACATGCAAAGTAGAATCCATGAACGTTATGATGTCGCTCCATTACATGATCAGTGTCGAAAGGCAAAGAGGAGAGCTTTGGATCTCATTGACCAGGAGTATGATGAACAATATGCTAGGATCAAAGACTACAAAAATGAGATAAAAGAGTAAGTTTTTTTTTTATTTAAATAGTATGAGACATCTATTACAGTTTACACATCTAATATAACACCTTTTTTTGTTGACTTAGGACGAATAAGGAATCCACAGTTGAGCTGCGAACAGAGATTGGACCAACTAGCAAAGAAAGGTTCGATTCATTCTACATGTGTTTCGACGGCCTTTGCAATACTTGGAAAAAGTATTGTAGACCCATTTTTGGGATAGATGGATGCTTCTTAAAGTCAAATACAAAAGGTATACTATTGGCAGCTGTGGGGAGAGACGCAAACAATCAAATATACCCATTTGCTTGGGCAGTTGTTCAAGTGGTGAATACAGCCAGTTGGATATGGTTCATTCAGCACCTCAAAAAAGACTTGGATTTAAAGAATGGTGAAGGATACACCATCATATCCGACAGGCAGAAGGTATATTACTCATGGTTTATAGTTTGCTTGAAACGTGTTTAGTGTTTTTTGGCGAGTTTAACAAGCACATGTGTTTTCTTTGCATGGTTTACTTAGAGCTGTCACTGAAGAGTTGCCAGAGATAGAGCACCGAATGTGTGCCAGACATATCTATGGCAATATGAAGAAGGTGTATACTAGGGACCCTCGGATGAAAGGCTTGTTTTGGCGAGTGGTGGATAGTTTCAACAAGGCAGATTATGATGCAAACCTGAAGAAGATGCAGGAGTATGATGAAGGTATCTTTCAAGAATTCATGAAGCAAAATCCATAAAATTGCAGCCGAGCATTTTTCAAGACTACTTATTGTTGTGAGGATGCTCTAAACAATAATTCGGAGTCTTACAACAATGCTATTGAGTTAGCATGTGCAATTCCGGTGGTTCAGAGCTTGGAGACAATGAGGAGACAAGCAATGGCTAGGATAGGGATAAGAAGGAAAATTACCGCCAAACATAATGGCAGACATAGTAAGAAAGTGGGCCTTGTAATCGCATTAGAGGAGAAACAAGTGAAGTGGTGCAAGTCGCTTCCTGGTCGTGATCGTGTATTTGAAGTGTCAGAGAAAGGGGTATCACACACTGTTAATATGAGAGAGAAGACCTGTAAGTGTAGAAGATGGGATCTCACCGTAATACCTTGCCGGCATGCACTTCGTGTTGTCTTTGACAACAGCAAGGTTTTCAAGAAAGAAGATTTAGTGTCAGATTGGTATTTGACTTCTCTCTGGCGAAGTCAATACATTGATTCCATCGAGCCTGTAAATGGAATGAAGTTTTGGAAGACAAGCTCTGAACCAACTATTGATCCACCAGAACGAGTGAAAGAGAAGGGAAGGAAAAAAAACCCGCAGAAACGGCTCAAATCAGTCACGGAGTCACCAACCAAGGGTAAAAGAGTTACCAAACATGGCAGGACAATGCAGTGTTATCGGTGAAATATGGAAGGACATAATTCTCTTCATTGTACTAACCCCGGCGCACCATTCAAGCCTAGGAAGCCCAAGAAGAGAAAGACAGGAACCGATGTTCCAGAAGTTCCAGATTTTCCAGAGACAATGACACTTGATGAAGGAGAAGGTCCATATCAAACACAACAAACTCAGCCATCGTTTGCTGAAGACTTTGGAGAATGATCAGGTATTTTCTCACAAGTTTCTGAGATGTTTCTGATATTGGTAATCTGAAAAGTAATGTATGTGATGAATACTACTGTCTATATTTTGCAGGTGGAGCTTATTGGTAGTTCAATGTAGTTCAATATGCAGGAAATCAGAGTAATTTTTTGGGTTTGTGATCTCCTGCTCAGTAGAAAATGTCGGCTTTAGGTGTGCTTTTAAAAAAAAAAAAACTTATTGCTCTTATGTCTTATTTCCTTTTATATTGTCGGCTTTAGGAATGCTTTTGTATTGCACAACCTTTATATCGGTTTCTTATTACTGGCTTGGATGCAACTTTATATTGGTTTCTAAGAAGTTTGGTTTCAATCCTTTTTTGGTTCTTTCAAGTTTGTCTTTCTCTTATTGTCATGTTACGTAGATGGGATAATAAAAAAGGCTTAAAGCCATCACATTACTTAAAACCTGATACACCAAAGTTTAAAATCTGATACAACAAGAGTTTAAAAACACAGGAAGCCAAACACATAGAGCTCCCTAAACCCAAAAACAAAAGTAAGCACCTAAGAACCCAACTCCACAAACAATCACACTCTTCAAGACATATGTATCTCCTACCAACTCCTTCATTTCTTTCTCACATCCTTGTATCTCGGTTTTCAGAGAATCCATGTTGTTTTTCATATCTTCAATCTTCTTCTTCATATCTTCAATCTCTTTCTTCATGTCTTCAATTTCTTCTACCATTCCTTCATCAGTCCATTTAAACAAATGGTAGTTGTCCTAGCACCAGATCAGAGTAACAAAATTCAGATTTAAACCCAGCTACCACAATAAAGTTACAATCATTAAACTATTCTCTTTACCTTTTCAGTCCGATTAGGACAACAATGGAATAATCTTCCTGGATTTTTTGAGGTTCCTGAAGTTCTTATCCAAGTGGAGCTTCCACAAATACAAGTTCTCGGCATTCCTCTAAATCCTTCCGCACCACAAGTTCTCATACTTAAACTATTCCCTACAAATTGACATTCAAATTGTAACTAAACCCTAGATCCCAAAATCGAATTTACTTCACATTAGAAGATTTGGGCATACCTGAATTCTCGGAAGAAGTCCTTTGGCTCGAAGATGACGCCATTCTCTTATGTCTTCTTCTACACCCCTAAACCCTAGTTTAGAGTTTTCCCCAATTTTGAATATAGATAGACATCGACGAAAGAGAGAAAGAAGAAGAAGATCGATTCTTCTTAAAATACTTGCAAAGTAAAACGACGTCTAACTTGTTTTTTAATGACGAATGCGAATCAGCTTTATATTTATTAACTGGTGATGGTTTATTAATTTCACGTCTGGTCCACTGGTTCTGAAGTCCGTTTGAACGCAAACAGGTTGCGGGTTCGAGTCCCCGAGTTTGTAAAAAAAAATTTTAACCCAGATTCGGTAAAAACGATGTCGTATTCGATTTCTGTTCCAACGGAAATTCCTACGTGTATTCCTACGTGTCAGCTGACTCAGCATCCGTTAACAGCTTAACGGGGTTGATTAATGGGGAATTTGTCAATGCATGAATTGGCCAAACGGAAGTTAGTACGGGTATGAAATTTCAAATTTATAGAAGTTGAGGTATGCGTAGGCACAGCTCAAGAATACATACAATAAATCGTACCAGAAAGGCCAGTTGAGGCACGAATAGGCCGCTTTCCCGATTATTATCAGACATGAGCTGTTGTTAACCACAAATTTTCTTCTCATCAAGTGGAACTTAACTAATGGAGTGAGTCTAATACTAGTAGAAACAGTATCAGTAACCACGTGCTCTATCACATGATCCTCATCTCAATTACATATCATATATACATCTTCATGGCTGATACGTGTGAATAAATCTTTGTGAGGTGAGGACTAATCATCAGTGATCTAAGATAAATATCCTCGAAATTAAAATAATTGGCACACCAGTCATATTAGATCACGTGATTAGATCCAAGAAAGTATCTTGGAACATTTATATATTCTACAAAGCAACAAGAGTTTCAATCTCTCTTTCTTTCTTTTAACTCAAATATAGCTTGCTACCCAAATAGTTTTCTCAGTTGCAGTCTCACATAAGAGCTCCCACCAAAAAAAAAAAGAAGATCAAATTAAAAACCAGAATTTTGGCAATGAAGAGATTCCTTACATCGGTGTCAATTTCAGCAGCTCTGATACTGTTACTTGTAGCTTTGTTTAGCAGCGAGAATAATGTAGAGGGTCGTCAGATGGCGCCAGCTTCCATGGATTCAGCTTCTGGTAAAGATATGAGAGATTTGCAGATAAGCAAGGAGATGAAGGAAAAGTCTCTAAGAGGTGAAAAAGATAGCTTCCGAAGAATTCCAAGGAGTGGCTCCAGCCCTATACAGAACAAGTAAAAGACAATACCACACCAATCAGTTTTCAATCTTTACATATATCTAATGGTTCTCACATATCTCTCTGTAAGTGTTTATGATTGACACCATGATTGTGTACTTTTTGTATCAGGAAAGGTCCCTTAGCAGATATAAGAGGAAGTAGAAAACAGCAGATCACAACAAGAGAACCATAGATTTCATTTCTTTTCTCTTGAAATCTTTCTGATTTCTTTTTCTTTTTGGTAGTATATACAGTATTTACACTTATTTCTGGATGTTGTAATGTAACTGAAAAATAAGGAATCATCTTATATGCTTGCTACTTTTAACAGTTACTAGAGTAGGCATAAACCTTTATAAGTTCTTTTGGAATGTAATACGAAAAAATGAGGAAAGGTCAACTATGCTGTCATCTTCCTTAAAATAAGTGAAAAAGAAGTGTGGCACAGAGAGGCAAAATTTGATAGAGTACACAGTATAATTTAAATTCTCAATTTATTCGAGTGCCGATTCTTCATCTCGCCAGAAAGGAAAGGCCTTTTGTTGGTAACTGGTTTATCTGTGGCTTCATTAGTTTTGATCTTCCTCTGTTTCGTCCTTTTTTCACCTGCAAAATGTTCATCCTTATCCCTTGCATGTTCTTCTCGGTGGCGCTTAACCCCGGAAGTAGGACGATGGTCAATCTCTTTCCTTTTGTTCTTAAGTTCTGCCTCCTGAGATGCATCCTCAGATGCGTCAGAAACAAATGTGTTCTTTGGAAAATTTGATTTGCCGGACCCAAATGCAGAACAGAATTCGTTATATGTTGATTGCTGAGCTTCTTGTCTTGATTTCCACTGTTCAGGTCTGCTGGCATACCTGCAACAACAAAAAAAAAATAATGAATGAAGTAAAAGATGCATGCATCCAAACTATAGATATGCTACCTTTCAATGGCACTATGGTCACTAGATCTCCTTGACTTATTCCTGATGTGTTACAACTTCCATCAAACAAAGCAAGGTAAGTTTTGTTATCAAGATCTTACCCATCGATATCTAGTTTCCTAAGTAGAAAAGGCCCTTGCTTTGTTTTTGCGAGATCAGCTTTCACATCCAACAGTTCAGTTGCTATGGCTTCCCTTAGTGACAAGTTGCATGCATCGAAGCACTTCTCAACAGTAAATGAGCCCGACGTATGTAATGAGAGCTCGCCAAAATGTCCACGTAACCTGTCAGTGAAGTCATCGGTGAAAAGAAACATCATCAGAATAAAGAAACAATTGCTTGATGAAAACTGACAAAAAGCCAAGAGCATGAATTGAGAAAAGCACAGAAGCAAAAACAGAATAAAAGAAAACTCTAACTTTCCCTATATAATTCCCTATGGTTCAGTTTTGGGTATCGTAAAGAAGCAACGCATACTTTATAATTAGTCTGCGCTTCTGTTTTGTAGCAGCATTTGAGGCAAGAAAGGCCTCGATGACACGTGCTCCGCTGGAATCTTTTGCTGTTTCAATAGTATGCTCAGCTTGCATAGAAGTTAAGCTTGTTATGTATGGCTGTATAAGATCCTGTGACAATTGAGCAAAAGTTGGGAAATACTGTGAACGTGCATGAACAGCCAAACTTGGAAGCTAAACCAATGAAACTATTTTGTCAACACAAGAAGAGAAGGAAACATACGCTAGAACACTTGAAAATCTCCTGAAGGATCAAACAACCCATGACATGCATCTTTGCACCGGGTGACCATTCCCATGTAGACTTGTCTTGGCAACCAAAGTAGTTATCAAGAAACAATAACCGTTGAACAATGAAGCTATGGGATTCATTTGTGGAGCATACTGCACCAGCAAGGGCTTCACAACACTGTAAAATCAGCATGTATTATCTGTATGAGTATCTTAAGCACAACAATTTTATCACTAGAGAAGAAGTAAAATTTCAGATGAATTTAGAAAACATAAAACCTTATGTTCGTGACTTTGAAGCCTTTGGCTAACCGCTATCAGAGAAGCCACAACACCTGACTTTCCTTGTTCAAGAAGATCCTTGAACTTTGGAGCTAATTCTTCCCATATCAAACCCATCTTGCAAGCAAAAGCATTGAAGCGTAAGTTTACCGACTTCAAATGATAACACAAATACGTTGAGGCTAAAAAGACCTGGAGTATTTTTTTTCTGACACAACGGAGCAAAGATGAATGTTGGTCGAATAACAATACCTGCTCTTGGTCTTTCGTATGGGAGATTAATGCTTGAATAACAAAATTTGCACACCGATCAAGTGAAAGCTCAAATAAAGAATTCTTGAAAACTTTGTTCAACATTTCCTTATACAAACTTTCAGGGGCCACTTCCAAAATCACCTGAAAATGGCATACAAATGCATTTAAAAAGACGAATAAGGTACCCAACAGATAACTGACGATCTACAAGACAAACCTCACATTCTAGATAGTGTATTGCATGGTCTAAAGCAGGCATGTCCATAATAATCAATGGTTATTTGCAAAGTAACATAATCAATAGGTATAAACAACTCAGTCAGAGGTTGAAACTCTGTTACCTCCACCAAATGACTGAATGAATTATCCTTCATTGACTCTAAAATTTCCTTGGCAACATCAGTATCTATATGAACCCCCTCTTCTTTTTTACTTGTAGAGTTGCAGCCTAGAATAAGAGGAATGATTTCAAGTAACTCCTCATCTTGTTTCAGCATTAGTCTGAGAGCCGTCTGTCAAGAGAAGATCAGTTAGCATTACCAGGAGATGAAAATAAATAACAACCAATACTAAAGAACCTGATTGAAAATAAACAAAAAAGATTAGACAGGGACATAAACATACCTGTAAGACCAAACTGCTAAATTGATCGACTTGAAGATACTTCATGTCCTCTCTGCTACAATTTAACAGCCCGGATATAAGGTACTTGAGCACATCTGGAAACCCTTGATGAGGGAACTGTTCATTATTCTCATCCAGCTGAGACATCTTCAAATTCAAGCGTTTTGCAAGAGCTTTTGATGATTTTGCGCCATGAAGCTCAGGGGAATCTAAAGAGACTCCTTTGCAAAGACAAAGAAGCCTTCGGAGAACATGAGAACCATAGCAGTTGCACATCATATCAAGAGGATTGTCCACGATAACCTGACCAAGGGAAATATTTTACCGTCACAATCGAGGTCAATTACCAGCTTCATAACTAAAGCAATATTCTGAATATTGCTATATGCTTGTCAATGCCAGATAATAATGTATAAGTACCTTGCATATAGAAGTTAAAGCCTCTTCAATTACAGAATAAGCATCTGGGTTTTCCAAATGTGAGGCCAGGGATTTGAGAGCAGACTCAGCAACATGAGAACCGGATCTATCCATTGCAATGGCTGGGAACACCGTTGCAGAATTTCGCAAGAAACTGCAAAGTTGGTCAAGTTGACATCCCTCGAGTAGAGTTTGCAAGACATGACTTATGATGTAGTCTGTTGCAATTTCATATTCCCTCCCTCTTGTTTCCTCAAGGGCGTTTCCACATATAACTGAACGTTCCTCTATATCAACTTCATTACTATCAAAGAGATTGGCAATCTCAGAGAAATACTTTGAAGTTTCTGGATCAATCTCTTTCCTGCAAAAGGTTAAGCCCGATTCATTACCACTTCTTCTGATAACAAAAATTACCAATTACAAGTTAGAGCAACAAAACCTAGTTCAAAGTCTCTCATTACCTGACAAATTGATTCTGATGTTCAAACTCGGATTGTTTCTTTGGCGCTGCCTTCACGTTAGCGGCACCACTGGATTGATTCCTCTTGTTACTATCTCCATCGAATCCACGACTACCTTTCTGGGCCTTCCTACCCATTCCCTTTTTCCTTGAACTGTGATTGTTGCTAGACTTTCCTCGTTCACCCATTAAGCTATCTTCCTCGATGATCCTGTGCCTCCTAGATGGCAATGACTTTGACCCAACTGAAACCATGTGAAGCCCTAGTTAAATCCTACAAAATTTACCCAGGAAACACAAAAACCCCAATATCAAAAAAGCACACCACAAAACTCACAAAAATACCAGCTTTCAAGAATTATATTCCCCAAATTACACAAATACACAGGCCTATAAGTAAAGGAAAGGTTGGATTTTTATAACTAATCTAGGTAAAGTTTGCACAATAGAAATGGAACACAAACCTGAGGATGCGAAAACAGAGTTTGGTGTAAGAGAAAAACCCGATGAAGCTTTGTACTTGAGAGGGAATGAGACAGAGGACGCGGCGGAAAGAGATGGAGAAGAATCACAATCGAAAAAATCAGAAATAAGAGAACGGTGTCGTTTCTTCCACTTACTCCTAGTGTTAGTAAACGTTGTTTGAATCAAAAATCTTCCATGTTTATAGCTCAAGCTGTACAAAATTTTATAATTTCTAGGGTTTTATTCTCATCCTGTCAAAACGACGTACTATAAACCCGCAATGGTTTTGATTGGGCTTTTAAGGCCTAGTCTGAGTAGCTCGACCCGTTTCCGGTATTTGCTTTTTATTTTGTAAATGTAAAAAAACTCAAAAACCAAAAAAATTAATATAACAACCTTTTAACAAAAAAAAAAAACTTCATAGTTTTTGTTTTAACCATCACGTACTTGTTTAGAAAGACAAAATAACAAAAAAAGTTATTCGTAACAATATTGATATTATCGACATAGTTAAAGAAGGTGCAGCAAAGAAGCCTCATGTTTTGAGGCGGAGAAGGAAACGAACTCGTTTGAGCAAAACATACAAGTGAAATAAAAGATATAACGAACAAATAAATAAAATATTAGATATAACGAACAAATAAATAAAATATTATTTTTATTATTCTTTCAATAGACTAATAAAACCAATATGGTAAATTCATGACCCAAAGACTTATAAAACCAACTAAAATACAAATATTGTAGTTAAATTAAAACTACTTATCTAAATAAATATTAGAAAATCTCTAAGATATTTATAAAAATAAAAATAAAATAAAAGTAACTAACTAATACGCTGTAAATAGAATATGTTAGAACTATTAATCCAACAAATTCCAATTAGATCGTTTGTTTGGAAACTATTTGTTTTGACAATTGCGGACCATCCTGCGCTAAGCATATAACTTCCATGTATTTCTTTTTTAAAGTTACAATGTATTCTTTTTTATCTACAACAAAAACCTTCATTTTAATACTGTTTCTTAATCTCTGGATCAAATCACCTGCCATTTTTGGAATTATAAAATTTCAAAGTCCTGTCTCGATAAAT